AAGATCTTCTGTCCACTGGCTCCTTCCCCAAGTGGCTGCAGTGGCCGGAGCTGGGCCAGTCTGAAGCTACGAGCCAGGAGCTTCTTCTGGGTCTCCTCTGTGGATGCAGGATCCCAAGACTTTAGGCTATCCTCAGCTGCTTTCCCAGGCCACAGGTGGGGAGCTGGATGGGAAGTGGAGTACCTGGGACATGAACTGGGGTGCATATGGGATCCTGGCACAAGCAAGGAGAGGACTTTAGTCACTTGGCTATTGTACCTGGCCCCTTGATCAAACTTCTTAAGGCAGCTCTTGAAACTAAGTTGCAAGATGATAAAGTATAAGTAACACCAAAATAAGCTAAGTTATGTTGCGGTAGCCCGAACCCCCACATTTCAGAGTCCTAAAGCCTCAAAAGATTCCCCTCAGTACAAATCACTTGTGGAATGGCAGCAAGACTCTTCCCGCCAGACACACTCAGGGTCTCAGGTTGGCAGGAAAGCCACCATGTGGAAAGTAGCCAGGTCTGGGGGAAAGAATGCCCAGGAAGGTCTTGCATGGACAATTCAATGCCCAGAAATGACCCACCTCACACCCAAATGGGCTGGGCAGAATTAGCCGCATAACTCCATTTGACCACAAGAGGGCCAGGAGATGCCATCCCCCTGTGTACCTAGAAGGGAAAAAATCTGGATTTAATTAGAGTAGTTCTGATCAATCACCACATTTAGTTCCACAATTTTTTAAAGATTGATTTTACTTTTATTAAATTGTCAGATGTACAGAGAAGAGTGACAAAGAGGAAGATCTTCCTCCATTGATTCACTCCTCAAGTGGCCACATGGCTGGAGCCAATTCGAAGCCAGAGCCAGGAGCCTCTTCTTAGTCTCCCACGTGGGTGCAGGGACCCAAGGCTTTGGGTTGTCATAAACTGCCTTCCCAGGCTGTAAGCAGGGAACTGGATGGGAAATTGGACCTCTGGGATTAGAACCAGCGCCCAGATAGGATCCTGGCATGTACAAGGCAGGGACTTTAGCCACTAAGCTATCGCGTCAGGCCCAAAATAAATAAATCTTTAAAAAATTAATAATTTAGGGGCCGGCACGGTAGCCTAGTGGCTAAAGTCCTTACCTTGAATGCTGGGTTTCCATATGGGTACCAGTTCCTATCCCAGTAGCCCTGTTTCCCTTCCAGCTCCCAGTCTGTAGCCTGGGAAAGCAGTCAAGGACGGCCCAAAATCTTGGGACCCTGCATCGGTGTGGCAGACCCGGAGGAGGTTCTTGGCTCCTGGCTTCAGATCAGCTCAGCTCCAATTGCTGCAGCCACTTGGGGAGTGAATCAGTGGATAAAGGATCTTCCTCTCTGTCTCTCCTTCTCTCTGTATATCTGACTTTCCAATATAAATTTTTTTTTAATGTAAAAAATTATCAATTTAGGAGCTAGTCCCATAGTGTAGTATGGTAAGCCTCTGCCAGTGGCACATCCTTCCCATATGGGTGCTTGTTCATGTCTTCGCTGGAGGATGGCTCAGGTCCTTTTGGCCCCTGCATCCACATGAGAGACCCAGAGGAAGCTCTTAGTTCCTGGCTTCAGATCATTTCAGCTCTGGCTGTTGTGGCCATTTTGGAAATGAACCAGCAGACAGAAAGTCTGTTTCTCCTTCTCTAACTGCCTTTGCAATACAAGTAAATACATTTTTTCAAATAAAAATACATCTGGTTACTCGCCAGATACAGGCAATGGTGTGAGCCAGGTTGGTGTTAGGACTAGGAGCTGGCAACTTAATTGCAATCTCCGTGGTGGGTAGCAGACACTAAGCATTCTGAGCCATTCATTGCTGCTTTTCAGGCCTGAATTAGCAAAAACAGGGAGTCAGGGGCTACAGGTTGGTTTTGAACCCAGATGTTTGAGTAAGAAACTCTGGTGTCTTCACTGCCAAGCCAAACGCCTATCCTTCAGTGGATATTTACATGACTTCAACGCTCATGAAATCTGTAGGTAAAATATCTTTTTCATATCCATTGAAGGAAGGCAGAATATGCCACTCGAAAATCTGCCACTTTGGTTTAAGAGTTATTTTGAGCTGAAGATATGTGGGAAAGAGCACACGCAGGAAGGACTGCCTGCTCTCCCCTTTCTACTAAAGCAGAGCTGAAATCTCTCATTAGAAAGGTGCCCTTGCAGTACCAGGAAGTGGAAAACATCCTTATCACTGGGGACAGGCGATTGACAGTGACCCAAATTTATACAAACCAACCTTGCTAAAGCTATTCTTATCTTCCAGCACTGTCCCCTGCATATTTACCTTTGCTCAAACAAACCGCTCCTAGGAGCTCACATTCCTTTTTGCCTTGTCAAGTCCCCATAACCTGTCAGTCCTTGCTAAAAAGGGTCTACATGCTCTCCAATCGACTCACTTCTCCAGGGTTTTCACTTCATTTCTGGAAGGCCCTCCACTGCCTGTGAAATCACTCTCTTCCTCCTCACCCCACCCTGAGGATCTGTATTTTGTTGGTTTAATTTATAGGGCCTCAGCCAGTGAACTCAAGCGGGGAAGGGGAATGTTTTTTCTCCTCTACCCCAGCTTTTCTCACAAGCCCAACTAATTCTTTGAAGTGAAACTGTCAGACTTGAAATTGGTATTCATTGCTCTAAGTGCCCCCTACAAAGAACGCTGACCTATTTACTGCTACTCTCAGTCCCAGGAAACACTTGGGGCAGGCCTGCTTTCTCGGGCCTGAATTCCATTGCTTCCCAAAGCCTTCAGCTTCCACCCACTACCATATATATTTTTTCCCTTTTGTGAAGGCCTTACTATCTATGCTCTGCAGCACTCAGCAGCTGAACACTTCACTGTTGTCCTGTGAAGTTAGTTAAAAAGAAAAAAGCAGGCCCGGTGCGATGGCCTAGCAATGAAGGTCCTCGCTTTGAATGCGCTGAGATCCCATATGGGTGCCGGTTCTAATCCCAGCAGCCCTGCTTCCCATCCAGCTCCCTGCTTGTGGCCTGGGATGGGAAGGCAGTTTAGGATGGCCCAAAGCCTTGGGGCCCTGCACCCATGTGGGAGACCTGGAAGAGCTCCTGACTCCTGGCTCTGGATCGGCACAGCACCAGCCATTGTGGTCACTTGGGGAGTGAATCATTGGACGGAAGATCTTCTTCTTTGTCTCTCCTCCTCTCTGTATATCTGACTTTGCAATTAAGATAAAAATAAAACTTAAAAAAAAAAATTTCAGCTAGTGTTTGTGCCTTGGCAGTAGAAATATAATATGAATTAGACCAAGAATTTCAGTTCACTGGGCACAGAAATCTTGCTATTGCCCAATGCATTTATTTTGTGACTAGTGTAAGGTTGGCAAAGGGAGATTTCAGGCGGGTACAATGAGTCTCCTGTTGACAGAGCAGTTCTGGAACAGCACATGGTGTCTCTCGGTGAGAGTCTCTATTACTAAACCAACGGAGCACACATTCTCCCTCCCAATAGCCATGTGAGAAGGCAGTCGAAGAAGCAGAGTTTCCCAAGTCCAAGTACCATTTCACACTCATCGCACAGCTGTGCCTCTTGGTGTGTATACAAGGCAGCCATTAGCACAAGCATCTGCAGTAGCTAAACGCCACATTGCACATTAGAAGGCCTAGCTCAGGTCACCATCCACTCCATTGGTTCTGACCCAGCTTCTGGCTGTAGACTTCCCAAGGGGCAGCCAGAGTATGGGAGACCCACTCAGGTTGAGTCCCAGCCTCTTGGTATTGGCCTCATTCAGTTGTGGCTGCTGTGGACATTTAGGGTGTAAGCTAGCAGCTTTCTCTCTGTGTTGCACAAAAATGAAAAAAAAAAAAAAAATTTAAGTGTCTGATGGAAGGGTGACCGATGCCTTGATGGAAGATGGCAACAACTACGAATATGTGGGCATTTACAGTCTACACGTTAAACAGTTGAAGAAGGCAGACGAGGCATTGCTGTTGGTGAGAGGCTGAGGAAATTAAAAGCTGTATCATGGGCTTAGCACGGTGGCCTACTAGCTAAAGTTGTCGCCTTGAATGCGCCAGTTCTAGTATGGCAGCTCCACTTCCCATCCAGCTCCCTGCTTGTGGCCTGGGAAAGCAGTCGGGGACAGCTCAAGACCTTGGGACCCTACACCTGTGTGGGAGACCTGGAGGAATTTCCTGGCTCCTGGCTTGGGATCGGCACAGCACCGGCCGTTGTGGTCACTTGGGTAGTGAATCATCAAATGGAAGATCTTCTTCTGTTTTTCCTCCTCTCTGTATATCTGACTTTGCCATAAAAATGAATAAATGTAAAAAAGAAAGAAAGAAAAAAAAAGCTGTATCACAGAAGGGAAGGAAAATCCAGGGAGGAGCCCTGCAAGTTGTTCCTGACCCCAGCATGGCCTGTTTCAGCGACCTTGGAGAAATGTGCCAGCTGGGGGAAGGGAGTCGGTGTGCACAAGTCGTTTTGTAGGTTTTAGGACATTTGTCCTGTGCTGCTGCTCCTTTCCCCCATCTCCCCGGGGGAAAGAGTGTAACCCACGCCAGGCTCAAGGTGACAGCAGGGAAGGCCAGGCAGGTCCAGGGGTCGGTCACGCATGTGCCAGGCAGCGTGCCTCCAAAGGTCGCAGAACACAACGGATGCTGCATGGCGGGGAAGGGGAGGGTATCCCCGAGCAGTGGCGGGATTAGTCAGGGCTCCTGAAGGGGTGGGCTCGTTCGTGCCTGTCCAGGGCCAGGCGCCCAACAGACGACAGAACGACTGACCATCTCGCCCAGGAAACGTAAAGGGATGGGTCGCCGCCCTCCCGTGAGAACGGCCTGGTACAAGAAACAGGCCCGAAGCGGACTCCTTCCCAGTTCCTTGCTGGCCAGTGGGGAGCCGACGAGGAGATCCCGCCACCGCCTCCAAGAAGCCGCCCACCGCCACACTTCCGGGTTCGGCCCCGCCCGCCCAGCCGCAAGCATTTCCGGTTCCTGCTGTGGCGGACGCGGACCGCTATAAGGCGGTAAGTTCCGCGCTCCGGGGACCCGCAAGGCCTCCAGGAAGCGGTCCCAGGGCCGGGCAACACTGTTCCCGGCGGTGGCGGGCCTCTGTCCGCGTCCCGTGGTACTACACGGCAATATTTCCCTCAAAAGGCTAGGCCGTCCCAGCTCCAGGAAGGCGTCACGTCCGGTCTGTCGGCGGGGGCGGGACGGACGGGGCCGGAAGTGCTGCCTCCCCGACTTGTGTCCCCAGGCTGTGATTTTCGGTGGAAGCCGACAGTTTTGCAGCCTAAACGACCTAAGTCTAGAAGATGTGCGCTTGGGCTGTGGGATAAACGAGTGTCTGGAATTCTCCGTCATACTGGGCAGCGGCAGGAAGTCTCCCCGTAGTGTCGAGGGAGAGCCTTGGCCTTAATTTCCTCCTTATCTCTCTTTTGGCACCCGAGGTCCCCCAGAAAGTGCTGAGGAGCTGGGGACTGGAGCCCAGTTTCCGCGCTTCGTGCACACGCACTGAGGGAGCAGCCCTCAGCTTTTCTGGGAGGCATTTGGTGAAAGTGCGCTCTTACAGATGCTTTGGATGTTTTACTGTCCTTGAACCCGGACCAGCCTCCTGACCTTCACCTCTGCCCAATGGGGAAAATGACGTCGTCCATTTTGGATGTGCGTGGCCTTGGCCTGCTGCAGCCGCTGGGCACCACTCACAGCTGTGGGTGGTGTGACTAGGGCTTGTTCCCTCAGAGCCGGGCGGGGGGTGTTCTTGGCCAAGATTGGGTCTGGCCAGCGATGTGGGTAAAAGGGCAGTCTGTTTGCAGCCTGAGAAACGTGCTCAGGGCCCTGTTGGTCATTGTCACTGTGAGATCTGCATTCCCAGCTCCCCAGCCCAATCCCACGAGTCAGTGACCTGAAGCAGGCCAAAGGTCAGTGGGCCCAGAGAGCTGGTGGGACAGCCAGCAGCCTTTTGGCAGCAAAAGTGGTTTAAAAAAAAAAAGGCCAGGGAGGAGACAGAGAAGGGGTGGGGTATGCGCCCATGGGGAGGGGTTGTTCTGCCATAAATGATTAACTCTCTGCTTGAGAGGATGACCCAGGTCGGCCCAGCTGAGAGGAACTTTGAACTTGGGGCAGTGTTTAGTGGGGTGCTGTGTGGTCTGCAGAAGAGGCTCTGGCTGAGGGGCAGTAGCTGTGGGCTTCTGGAAGTCTCCTTAGGTTACTGGATGGCTCCTTCTTACAGCGGGATCTCCAGGGTCCACGGGAGACCTCCCATCTGCAGCCTTGCGACAGACTCCTCACTGGTGCTCTCTTCCCTCTAGGCTGCAATGGGTGTCAGGTGGTGCTGAGAGCAGTGGGGCATGGCCACGGGCCTGCAGGTCCTGCCCCGCTTGGTTCGAGCCCCCTGGCGTGCACTCTTGTGGGGGCGACTCGTGGCCCGGCGAGCCAGCGGCATGGCCTTGGCAGGGCAGGCGCAGCACGTTTTTGAGAGTGCAGTGGGCGCGGTGCTGCCTGGCCCCATGTTGCGTCGGGTTCTATCCTTGGACCCTGACGGCAGACAGCTAAAGGTGCGGGACCGGAGCTTTCAGCTGCACCAGAACCTCTACCTAGTGGGCTTTGGCAAGGCTGTGCTGGGCATGGCGGCTGCCGCTGAAGAGCTCCTGGGCCAGCATATCGTACAGGGCGTGATCAGCGTTCCCAAGGGGATCCGCACTGCCATGGAGCAGGCAGGCAGACAGTAAGGAATCGGGGGCGGGGGGGGGCCGGGGGAGGGTGGCAGGCTGCTCCCCAATGCCCAGTGTCCCGGGTTGGACCCTCCCTCACCAGCTGCCTCCCCACCCCAACCCCATCTGGCTTGAGGATGGCCATCAGTGGGCACCTGCATTTGTGCCTCCTCCACCTGTGTGTGTAGTGAGAAGTCAGGTGGGGGAGAGTAGCCCACCACCCTGTCTCTTGCTCTCAGGGAGATGTTGCTGAAGCCTCACAGCCGCATCCAGGTATTCGAAGGCGCGGAGCACAACCTCCCGGACCGTGACGCACTGCGGGCTGCCCTGGCCATCCGGCAGCTGGCCGAGGGGCTCACAGCCGACCATCTGCTGCTGGTGCTCATCTCAGGTGCGGGGCCGGGTTGGCCCAGGACAGCCGGTGGTGCTGCGGCACACAGCCGGTCTTAGAGAATTGGGTCTGAGGTCGTGGGGCCCCAGGGTAAATTTGGGGTCAGGTTGGTGATTCATACCTGGGTGGCTTTGGTCTAGTTGTCTGGTTTCTCCTGAGCTGTGGGCTGCACCCTGAACAGCCCTTGATGGGTGGTAGAGCTTAGCAGGGGCACGTCTCGTGCATGGCCTGACCCATCAGCAGAGCTCTGCCATCACCTTAAGCTGGAACTCAGGTCTTCACCTCCCATAGAGCCTTCCTCTGTCCTCTGTGGTCTGCCCTTGTCTTGCCTCCTGGCCATGCCTTTTCTTTTTATTTTTTTTTCCCCTTTAAAAATTTATTATTATTATTATTATTTTTATTGTAAAGTCAGATTGTTACAGAGAGGAGAGACAGAAAGATATTCCGTCTACTGATTCACTCCCCAAGTGGCTACAATGGCTGCACTGAGCTGATCTGAAGCCAGGAGCCAGGAGCTTCCTCTGGGTCTCATGTGGGTGCAAGGTCCCAAGGCTTGGGCCATCCTCCACTACTTTCCCAGGCCACAAGCAGGGAACTGGATGGGAAGTGGAGTAGCTGGGACATGAACCGGCGCCCATATGGGATAAAAGGCGAGGATTTAGCTACTAGGCTACCACGCTGGGCCCTCACTATCCAGGCTTTTTTGGAATAGTTAGTTTTTCCACCACCCACTGGGATCTGGGTACCAGATGAGATGGCCAGGGTGTGGTGACAGTGCACACACTCTGTGTCCACACGGGGGCACCCTAGCCCCACTTTTATAGCCCCAGTTCCTGAGGGTCTGTGTTGCTGCTTGGTTGATGCACTGGCTCTGAATGTCCTTTTTGCCTGAGGCCTTCACTGATTTTTGCAGGTGGGGGCTCGGCCCTGTTGCCAGCCCCCATCCCACCTGTCACCCTGGATGAGAAGCAGATGCTCACCAAACTGCTGGCAGCCCGTGGAGCAACCATCCAGGAACTAAACACCATCCGGAAGGCCCTGTCACACCTCAAGGGTGGGGGGCTGGCTCGGGCTGCCTACCCTGCTCAGGTGCGTAAGTTGCTCCTTCCCCAGGTAGCCTTGGGCAGGTGCCCATGTCAAGGAAATGAAAGCCTGGAATAGCGTACAAGTTGGCAGGGTCCCAGGGTGAGTCCATAGGGCCAGCTGGGTACAGCCCTGGGAAGGAGACAGGGAAGAGTAGCATGAGGATGTTTAGCTACCCAGGGGGCAGTTTGAACTGTGGACTCTGGGACACAAAGGAGGTGGCCAGAGGCTCACAGGGTGGCCCTTCTCTAGGTGATAAGCCTGATCCTGTCAGACGTGGTGGGTGACCCAATGGAAGTGATCGCCAGCGGCCCCACAGTGGCCAGCACTCACAGTGTACAAGATTGCCTGCACATCCTCAACCACTATGGCCTCCGGGCTGCCCTGCCACGCTCTGTGAAGACTGTACTTGCCCAGGCTGACTCTGACCCCCATGGGCCACATGCCTGTGGTCACGTCCTCAATATGATCATTGGCTCCAATGTGCTCGCGTTGGCAGAGGCGCAGCGGCAGGCTGAGGCCCTAGGCTCCCAGGCCGTGGTGCTGAGTGCAGCCATACAGGGTGATGTGAAAAGCATAGCCCAGTTCTATGTACTGCTGGCCCGGGTAGCTGGTGCTCGCCTTGTCCCTTCCACAGCTGGGTGTTCAATGGAGGAGGATGTGAAACTCCACGAACTGGCGGCTGAACTCCAGCTCTCAGACCTGTATATGGAGGAGGCCCTGGAGGCTCTGGCCGGAGCTAAGGGTCCCGTCTGCCTGCTGGCAGGTGGCGAGCCCACAGTGCAGCTACAGGGCTCAGGCAAGGGGGGTCGGAACCAGGAGCTGGCCCTGCGCGTTGGAGCAGAACTGGGAAGATGGCCTCTGGGGTCCCTGGATGTGCTGTTTCTGAGTGGTGGCACTGACGGGCAGGATGGGCCCACTGAGGCTGCTGGGGCCTGGGTCACAGCAGACCTTGCCAGGGAGGCTGCTGCTGAGGGCCTAGACGTGGCCACCTTCCTAGACCACAATGACTCCCACAGCTTCTTTTGTCGCTTTCGGGGTGGGACGCACCTGCTACACACAGGGATGACAGGTACCAACGTCATGGACATTCATCTGCTGTTCTTGTGGCCTCACTGATGGCACAGGTCACATATTCATTAGGAATCAGGAGGCCTGGACGGCAGTGGCAGGCCAGAGCTGGTCCCCAGGCCTCACTGTACCTCATAGCCTGTCTGTCATCTTGGTGCTAGCTGCTTGGCTGGGATTCAGACCAGCCATCCAGGGTCTCTGCTCCATATCCATTACCTAACCCTCCCCCCTATCCAGCCTGGACGATGGGGGCCCCTATCCCTACTTCCCTGCCATGGCCCCAAGAACCCCCAAAGACCAAGACATACATTTAGATCTCTGTCCCTGGGCTCACCCTGGGCAGTCCCCCTGCCAAGCCCCTCTGTTTGTGTTCTTTTTTTTTTTTCTGGTGAAGTGAAACAGGAGAGACTGAAAATAAAGACTGCACTGCCGATTCTTGGTGGATTTTCTCTCAGAAGAAAGATTTGGGGAGCCCCTGGGACAGGCCTGACTCCAGCGTTTCCTCCCACACCTCCTCCTGGGCATGCCATGGGCTGGTCTCATCTGTGTGCCTGGAGCCTGTGAGGGGCCACTGAGCCTGGTGACTGTTGGGGTGGGGGAAGGGACCCCAGAGGGATGGGCTTCTCAATCCCTGCTGGTAAAAGTGAGCATGTGCTGCCTGCTGTGGGAGGCATCCCTTGTGTTTTGGGATGGCCTTTAGCTTCTGATGAGCTGACAGAATTGCTGCCTTCCCGTGGTGATGGGGTCAGGCAGCCCCCTACCCCTTTCTGCGTTGGGCAGAAGTTGGCAAGGAAAGAGGCACATGGCAACCTTGGTTTGATTGGCAGCATTTTTTGGGAGAGGGAGGCACCCTGTCTCCATTGCTCTCCCGCTCGCTTGCTCAGGATCAGAGCCCTCCGTTGTCTGTCCCCGCCGTGCGCCACGGCTCCAATCCCTATATGAATGAGCAGTAAAATCACATAGGAATAAAAAGCCATAGAGAACAGCGAGGCCTGGGATTGCTCCAGCAGGCCCTTCTTCCATCCCTGCCCTCCTCTCTTCCCTGCGGGGCAGTGAGCACTCCTGGGTCAGCACTGCCCTTCTGGGGAGAGGCTCTGTTCCCCACTTGGGCCCAGCAGGTAAGTGTGTCATGATGGAACCTGGGTCACATGGGGCAAGCTGAGACTGGAAAGGGGGAAGCAAAGAGAGCTGGGCTCTGGAGCAGGGAGGTTTAGGGGAGCTGTGTGTGTACCCCACTGTGGTGCAGGGGCACAACTTCTTGTAGTCTTGGGTGGCTGAGCAGTCTCAAGTTTTGGGGCATACCATTGTAGTGTCTGTGCCCGTCTACCTCTGGCTTTGTCCTTGGCATGTGACTATGAACTCCAAGTTCCGGACAAGTGCCAGATAGGAGAGGCAGCTGAGGACCTGTTGCCAAATCTCCAGTGTCTGCACACGCAAGTGTGGCATGTCAGTGTTGGTGTTGATATGCCAAAAGGCAGGCTGCCTCTGGGAGGATGTCCTGGACACGCAGTGCAGGACACACTCTGCTGCTTTGTGCATGACTGCCTGCATGTCTGCCGAGGACTGCAAGTGTGGGCAGGGTCTAGTAGGGGGCTTCCCTGCTCCACCCTGGCCCCTTTCCTGTGGGAACTGGGTTGATTCCCAGAAACTGAATAGTTTGTGAGCCTTCCCTGTTTGATTGCTCTGTTACCCCCGAGATAAGAGGATATATCTGGTTGAAGTCTCAGTGCAAAGTGAGATAGTCACCTGCATGTTGATTAATGCAGGAGACGTGTCATTTCCTTCCCAAATGTCAGTCATGGATCATTCAAGTGGTACCCCCCGCCCCCCCCCCCCGGGCTCTTGGCTCCTGCGTCTGCTGGCCCAGCTTTTTGCTGCTCTTGTACCGACCTCATCCCCGCCCTCCTGAAATGTTGACTGGTCCCAGCTTGAGGTGGTCACCATGTAGGGTGCCCGCACTGACTGCTGCAGCCCTCCCAGGCCTCTCCAGTCTTTGCACTTGGCATGAGCTGAGAGCAGCTGGGCAGTGTGCCGGGTCAGCACTTAGGGATCAGCAAATGCAAGCCCCTTTGTTTCACATCTGGAGAAACAGGGCGGGAAGGCGGCTCCTTGAGCTGCACAGCAAGTTGGCCAGGGGCGAGGGAGAGAACCTAGTTGAGAACTCATTGACCTTTTTCTGCCACCTACCCTTCAGTGGGGCAACACGGCCACATCTGGCATTTCCAGGGATCTCTACAAGCAGATAGGTCTTCCTGGTCTCTTCTTGGGTCAGAGAGGCAGCTGGGTGGTGTGATTTGGTGGGCATTTGGGTAAAGGTGCGTGTTTGCCCCCATGGGCATTTATGTGTGCGTGTGTGTATGTGCAGGGCAACTCATGACCAACTGCCGAGTAGACCTCTGTTGCACAGTTTGCGTTAGTGAGAATGTTGGGGATATGTTAGGACAAGTTGGGCAAGGAAGGTGTAGAGACTGACAGAGGCTCATTGGCATAGGGCCCCCGTGTGCCTGGCCCAGAGGGTTGACCTCATGTTGACAGTGGTGAGGAGCCTCATGAGGATTGGGACAGGGAGTCTTGCCACGAGGCTGTTTTAAGACAGCTGTAGCAATACAAAGGTCACCTCCCTGATGGCGGGGGCTGGGGCACTGGGCCACACAAGGAGACCAAGGGAGTGTTAGGGGTCAGAGATGGGAGAGACGGGGCCTCAGCTGGCACAAAAGCCCTTCCACCTTGCCTTGGCCACTCTTTTGAGCCTCAGCTGCTCAGCTCATGAGGAACCTGGGCAACCCTTTGGATCCAAGCCTAGAAACCTTGGATCAAAAACCTGGAATTCACTGGGCCCCTCTGCCCTGAGAATGCCACTTGGTTCTTGGAGATTTGGAGGTAGAAGCTTTGGCCAGCTAGTGGGCACCCCCAGTGCAGAAGAATCCCATCTCGTTTAGGGCTCCCTAGGAGGGCAGTTGGTTTGGTGACCCTTGTTCTGGTCTTGCCAGGTCTTAATTTTCTCCTGACTAATGGGAATACCTTGTGTGCCCTGCTCACCTCTTAGGGAGGATCTGTAAGGGAAAGCTTTGTGCAAATGGGAGGGAAATAGAGAATGATAGTTTCTTCCTAGGAGAATCTCGGAGCTGTCACTTCTGGAGGTCCCTTTCCTGTAGGGCAAGGCCAGAGTGAGAGCCTATAGTGCCTTGGTGTTCACTGACTGGGGTTGAGGGAGCAGCCTACTGCACTTGACAAGCACCACCAGAGTGATGTTTGAGACTTTAATGGCAAATGGGGTGCTGAGTGCCCTGGGAAGGTTATGGGGCTCATGCAGGGGATGCCAGCTGAAGCTGGAGGAAGCTGACCCCACTGTCTGAGAAACACAGGCAGGGCAGCCTTCATCTCTGCATGTGGGTCTGAGTCTGGTACGAGGGATATGGACAGGCCCCACGGGGTGGGGAGGACTGACCTGGCCCTAGGCTGCATGTCTTACTTGAGTGAGAGGACACCATGCAAAGTACTGCACAAGGGACAGTGACTCAGGCTGGCTGCATGTGACAGGACCATGGAGGGGAGCAAGGTCAGGGATCAAGGCAGCCCAGTACCCATGCCTGCACTGGTGGCCATTCTGAGGCTTGGCCGCTTCCTGGCCACAGAAGTGGGTGGGCTAGGGGTGCCTGCTCACCTCTGTCCTGGCTTGTGCCCGCAGCCTTGATCCCACCCCTCTCTGTGTATGTGTCATTTCACATGGGGCTAGGGGGTGGTAGCAATCCTGTTCAAGTGAGGTGATTTTGGCTGAGAATGAGAGATGTTGGGAACAACTGCCCCATCTGCCCTTAGTTCTGAATCACAGGATCACTGCCCACCCCCATCTGGTCCACTGCTCACTACAGACGGCCAGGGGCTGCCCCCTGCCTCCAGAATGTATCCCTTGGGAAGGTCTTCCCTGACCTGGCCATCCCGTACTCCCACGGCAGCCTGCCGGGCCACCCTGCTCACCTCCCCTGAGGAGATATGGACAGCACACTTCTCCAGCCCGCTTCGGTCCCCTGGAGCTCTGAGCAGGGGGGTGGGGCCCCTGGGTCTTCAGTCCGTTCTTCCCACCTTCCCAGCCTGAGGGTCTGAGCATCCCCTTGTAGCCCTGGCTTATCTCCATAAACATGTTGGTGGCTTCATGCAAGCAAGCGTGCCAGAACTGTCTCCACCTGCTCCCCATTGCCAGTCACAGGATGCCCCCTCCTCCCTAGACAGCTCCATTCCAGGACTGCTGGAACCTGGGTGGTTACAACCCCTTAGTGGTTACAACTCCAGATAACACTGTCCTGGGGAGCTGGCCCCTAGGAGTGGGGAGAAGTGGGATTCATGACTTGGGGGACAGGCAGCCTGCGAGGCTGGGGCTCTCTTCTGCCCACACCCCCTGCCCATTCTGACCGATAGCCAAAGCTCCACCAGGGACAGGCAATAGTGCAGGTCACAGTCCTGTGGCCAGTGCTGCTGCTGTCACCCAGCAGCCCTGGAGCGGCAGCCTCAACAGAGGCGGGCTCCAGAGCCCCGGTGTGTCCTGGACCGTACTCTCAGACCTTCTGTTCTGGGCAGCTTAGCTCTCCCCCCACACACCCCCGCCCACCTGTCTGGTCCCCTCTGAGCATCTCCTTCAGCTCAGAGCCACCCTGGGAATCCAGGCACCAAGTCAGGGACAGAGTCTGCCAGCTCCTGCCAGCCCTTCCCCTCGCAGCTGTGCGGCTGCTCTTCTATCCTCGGCACTGCTGACCACCGGGGCACCTGAGGCTGGCGCGCCAACTGACTGCCACTCTTGCCGCCCCTGACTTCTTGCTCCCCCACCTGCCCACACCCCCTGGTGGGGGGGCCTCCCAGGTCCTGTGCCTGTGTCCCCCAGTCCCCTGGGCTCACCTCGGTGGCGCTGTCTCCTCAGCAGAGGCACTGCAGTGTGGGAACTGTCCCGAAGAGCCGGTTCTCAGCTGAAACAAAGAGGTGGGGGAGGAAGAGGGGGGCAGCAGGCGAGGGAGAGGGTGAGTGAGCCGACGAAGGAGTGGAGACTGGAGGGGGAAGAGAGAATCGAGAGGATGAGAGAGACGACATGAGGGGAGGGGAGGGGAAGCCTGCCCGCCACCGCCCGCTAGCAGCAGGAGGGATGGAGGCTGACCCTGGGGACTGAGGGGCCAAGAAGGGAGGGAAGAGGAAGTGGGGAGGGGTGGAGGAGGTGAGGGGCCAGCACTATAGAAGAGAAACTGTTGGAGGGGTGGGCGGGGAGCTGGGGGGTTGCTGGTGATGAGGGGCGCTGGCAGGAGGGGCAGTGTGAGAGGAGGGATGCTAGGCGGGCTGTTCTGGGCTGGGTGTCCCATACCAGGCTCTGTTCTCAGAAGCCAAAAGGACTTTGGGCAAAAGGCTGCTTGCAACGGGGAATGGCAGGGAGAGATGTGGGGCTGGTGG